AAACCATCAAAAACAACATAGCGAGCACCTAGCAACAGCCTAGAAACCATCAAAAACACCACAGTGAACAGCTACTGTAGCAAACCCCTAGCAACAGTCTAGAAACCATCAAAAACAACATAGCGAGCACCTAGCAACAGCCTAGAAACCATCAAAAACACCACAGTGAACAGCTACTGTAGCAAACCTCTAGCAACAGTCTAGAAACCATCAAAATCAACATAGCGAGCACCTAGCAACAGCTTAGAAACCATCAAAAACACCACAGTGAACAGCTACTGTAGCAAACCCCTAGCAACAGTCTAGAAACCATCAAAAACAACATAACGAGCACCTAGCAACGGCCTTGAAACCATCATAAACACCACAGTGAATAGCTACTGTAGCAAACCCCTAACAACAGTCTAGAAACCATTAAAAACAACATAGTGAGCACCTAGCAACAGCCTAGAAACCCTCAAAAACACCACAGTGAACAGCTACTGTAGCAAACCCCTAGCAACAGTCTAGAAACCATCAAAAACAACATAACGAGCACCTAGCAACGGCCTTGAAACCATCAAAAACACCACAGCGAACAGCTACTGTAGCAAACCACTAGCAACAGTCTAAACCATCAAAAACAACATAGCGAGCACCTAGCAACAGCCTAGAAACCCTCAAAAACACCACAGTGAACAGCTACTGTAGCAAACCCCTAGCAACAGTCTAAACCATCAAAAACAACATAGCGAGCACCTAGCAACAGCCTAGAAACCATCAAAAACACCACAGCAAACAGCTACTGTAGCAAACCCCTAGCAACAGTCTAGAAACCATCAAAACCAACATAGCGAGCACCTAGCAACAGCCTAGAAACCCTCAAAAACACCACATCGAACAGCTGGCAAAAACATAGAAACTCAAAACTACTTAGCAAGCCACTAGCAACAGTCTAGAAACCACCCAAAATACAGCTACTATAGCAACACCCAAGAAACAACCCAGAACAGCCTAGCAAGCACCTAGCAACAGCCTAGAAACCATCAAAAACACTACAGTGAACAGCTAGCAACACCTTAGAAGCCAGCCAAAACAATCTGGCAACAACCTAGAAACGGCCCGAAATACCAGAGCGAACAGTTACTGTAGTGTCACCCTAGAAACAACCCAGAACAGCCTAGCAAGCACCTAGCAATAGCCTAGAAACCACCCAAAACACCATACTGAACAGCTATTCAGTTTATAAGCCCCTTATAAACCTAACCATACAAAATAACCTAGCAAGCAGCTAGAAATGACTTAGAAACCAACCAGAACACTCTAGCAACCAATGGGAACCAATCACAGCACCCTAGCATGGTGGTGTGAGGATTACATGGGCAAGCACCACAGTTCAAATGTCTTTTTTTATTTATTTTTTTATTTTTTTAATATATGTTTATATATATACATATATATATATATATGAATGTTAAACTGAAATAGGAAGACTTTGAAAAACACTCGGAATGACTGTGGAATGAATACGATTATTTTTGCTGGTCCAGACCCACCCAGATGGTGGTGCATTCTTTTGAGTTCTAGGATTGCTCAGTCATGGAAGTTCATCTAGATCAGCATTTCAACCGTCATATCTCTTCACCCACCGCCCACCCCGTATGTAATCCAGGACTCATATAACAGACAGCAGAGAAAGCTGAGCCCTTTCCCTGTGCCAGCTGCGATTTAAAATGTGATCATTGTGAGATTCTGTTGTGCCATTCATCTTACATTCAGGTGGAGCAAAGGAGGTCATGGCACTGGATGAAAGCAGCAGTAAATTCAGACTGTCACTTCAAACGCATCTCTGCGCTGATTTTCGCATGCACAGCGCTGATCCGGGACAATAAGGAGGCTGTTGCTCAGCATTTCAAACGCACACACACACAAATCAGAGTGTGCTGTAAATATAAGAGACTCTTTGTAAACACATTCATCATATTTCCATGCACAGGTTGTTGGAAGATCAGACCTCCACTGTGACCCTGTTCACATGGGCAGCGATTTTATCACCCTCCTTGGTACTAGTTGCTGCTTATTTGTATTTCGTTTCAGCAAATTTGTCCTTGTTTGGGGTCAGTTTTATTTTTTGGTAATACTTTACAATAAGGTGTAATTTGTTAACATTGGTTAATGTAATTTTTACTAACATAAACAAATGTAATTTTTACTAACGTATTAACTAACATAAACAAACAATGAACAATACATTTATTACAGTATTTATTAGTCCCTCGGGCCGTTTTCCTGGTTGCATTCGCACCGGCAGCAGGAACTCGAAGCGGCCGACAGCGATGAATTTTTATTATGGAGATGGAGTTGAAACGCACAATGTATGAGATTGCAAGAGCAAAAAGTTGGGCTAAGAGACTAATTTTAGCTAATTTTAACGAAGCTGGGAAAAGAACACAACATTGCAGACAACAGGTAAATGCCGTTATCGCTGTTTTCCATGTTCGTGGAGTAAATATGTTTACATGGCTTTTTAAAAATGCCGGGTGGCCGGTGTTTCGCGTGCGTTTGGCCAATCAGCATTCTCTTACTTCACTG